TTTCTCCACTCTGACATACGAAATGAGAAAACCTCACTTCAGTCTGGAATAGAGTTCAACCGAATGCATATGTTTATATATATGAAGTATTATCAATAACAAAAACGTAATGGTATATATGACAAAATCGTTAACAAATTATTTGGTCTTATATTTCTGGCCACCACAGTATTTCTCAATAGATATTCTATGAATTTAATTCCTTTTCTAATAGGTACTTACATGGCCGTTCATCGATGTGTTCTTGCTGCTCGTTCAAATACTTTTTCTGGTAAATGATAATCAAATACAATTAATATTTTAATCATATTAAAAATATTTTTTTCCTCATAGCTATTATGTCGGGCAATTACAGTCGACTTGATCCTGATATAAAAAAAGGACTTAAAACATCTGGGAAGAATAATAAATTAGTAATTTCTATTGATAAAACTCTTCCCGAAATAATGAAACAAGTTATTATATTTATGTATACAGCTGAATGTGAACTAAATGAACGTAATGGTAAATTTCAATTATTTTATTTTTTCACCAATGTTAAATAATGATATCTCAATATTAGTTTTTTTTCTATTTGTAGCATATGGCCTTCTTGATGCTGCTGCCCGATATGATATTAAAAGTTTAAAAGAATATACTTCTCAATGTAAGTTTTATTTTTTCTATAACATTTAAATTATCATGTGCACATGATTTTTTATCTTCCTTAAGTTCTTGTTAATCATATTAACAAAAATAATGTGTTGAGGTTAATAGAATCCGCATATGTATACAATAATTTATTACTTAAACACAAATGTATTGATTATTTTATTGATAACGGCAAGGAAGTGATGGATACAAATGAATCGTGGGGGCGCTTCTCTAATAACTGCAAAGGGATTGTTGCTGATCTTCTTTATTGGACTGTTCATAAAGACGAACACCGACAACAAATATAAACGACGAACAGTAAAACTAAAATATATGTCAATAAGACATTTCTTTTGTTATATTAACAATATATCTTTTTCTTCTTTGCTATGATTTTCTTGTATTGGTTTTTTCGCGTTAAAAAGAAAATAAAAGTAACGGCAAACCACCGCAGAAAAAAAGCAATCAAAAATGATATTATATGTATCATCAAATTGGTAAATGAACTTCCATAAAAGTCAATTTTATCATCAGAAGTACTACCTTATTCTTCATCACAATCAAGACAAAATAAATATTAAAAAACTTTTTTCTTTTCTCAAAAGATAGTTGTTAATGAAATCTATTTCATTAAGTTCACGTTCTGTAAAAATAAATGGAAGACTCAGTTTTCGAAATGCTACAAACAATATGAGTGTTAGTGGAAAAAAAGAAATGCAAAACTGTCATTTTAATTGCAATTAATAAACATACAGAAATCACTTGTATAAATATACATATATATGACGCTTCATTTAGTGAACCTCAAAACAATCAAATATTTTATATATAGCTTAGAAAGAGGAGGAAAGACCAGACTTAGAAATACCTTCGTAAGAATTCGAAGACTTGTTAAGATTTTATAAGACTCTACGGGACTTCCATCAGAGGTCCACAAGAAGTCGAATTTATCTCGTTTAACTTTAATTCTTACACACATTTCAAAACTGTAAGAATATGCTAGTCTCTTCAGTACTTTTACCGTGTGAGCGTTGGCATGAGTCTAGATGCGTTTGTTGTACTTGATCTCGCCTATCTATACGCACACACACATTCTAAAGGGACTAAAAGGAATAGCGCGTGAAAAATATAATAATCATAGCACCTTGAAAAGAATAAAGAGGAAAGAAATAATTTTAATTTCTCCTGAATTCATCTCTTCAACAAAATTCACGACACTTCTAGACTTCCAGACAGAAGTCTCTGCTGTTTCTCCATCCGACTTAGATTATAAGAGTTGTTATGTATACTCGTCTTAAATAGCCAATATTTGAATAATATTTTGTTGGAATAAATGCCATTTTAATTCGGCTAAATAATTGTGTACCAGATATAGATACAGTACCAAAATATAAAAATATACCAAATAAGGCAGCAACTGGAAGTTTACGAATAGTTGGAGCTGCAAATATTGTACAACTAATCAATAAATGTACACCAATATTTGTTACACGTTGATCTTTTATCTCAATTAAACGAGCTTTTTCTCCAGGTGCATGAGTATTACTATATTTAGATAAACTAGGTACATGAGCAAGACTTCATACAGGTGCTGCACATATCCAAGAAAGACCATATAGTCCACTAATCGATATTAAAATACCTAAAATAATAAAGAAATAAAAGGAAAATAATTTCAAAGAAGTCAATGTACCTGCTATCATTATATCTAAATGATATCCAATTCCTTTGATAATTTTTGTTGAATGAACACACTTAAGTTCCGATTGAATCATAATATTAGTAGACGAAAAAAAAGGATAAGAATAGAATTTTGTTATTCAATCCTTTTTGTTTTTCTTGTTGCCTAGCTAATGTAACTTCAGTTGGTGATATAAACCAAAATATTAGTACATTCTAAATCACTAGATCGAATTGAATTAGGTACAGTTATTTTCTGGATACAATCAAAGAAATATATATTGAAAAAACACAATCATATTTTCAGAACATGTTCGTTTGGTTTTATATTACTTATGTGTAAGACTATGACTATCAACACTCTTTGTAACTAACATATCGAAAAGCACCATAAAAATGAGCTCAATTGTTATACCGAAATCACTCAGTGTTTGTCTTTTCTGGAAAGGAAATATAAATTTAATGAGAAAGTCAAAAGATCAATTGCAATATGAATTAGTGATATAATATACACTGATTTTTTGGGTCGTGTGTTTTATTTTTTCTATGCATATACAGTAAAGCCTCTGTCAGTGAGCATCACTCGATTCTGAATGCGAATGCATTTTTCAATGCCCTTATATAAGTATTGATCTTGTCAACGTGAACATCAATAGAAGGCATCATTTGAATAAATCATATGGTTTGAGCTGTGAAGATGATTATTAGGAGAAAGTTGACCTTATGATTTAAGTCTGCATAAAAATGAAAAAGAAAAAACCAGAAAACGAATAGACAAATAGGTTGTTACGATCTTAGTTTAATGATCTAGCGTCTAATTTAGTCAATAATATGCATTTCCTATATTTGAAGTGAGAAAGGAGGAAGAGAGAACAGAAAATTACAAGACTTAAAAATGGGATTATCTAAGCGTGAGAAAAAAACAGGTAAAGGATGAACTGTGAAGCGACAAGGAATAATAATGAGAGGTTAAAGAATCATGCATAAACAATCAATAAAATCTGGAAGTGAAAGCAGACAGCAGTACACAAAAAATAAACCAGAACCGTCTTATCCCTGAATGTATCTTAGAGGCTGTCTTAAGCTTGGATGAGATAAAACATATGAAAAGTGTGTGATAGACAGTAGAATGAAAGCCGAAAGAAGTTAGTGCATCAGAGGTAAAGTATAGAGAAGTAGAAAAGGTCACGAAGACACAACGAACAAAAGAATTATGAAAGAAAAGAGACTAAATAATGTGAACAAATTAAATGCTCAGTAATTTTTTTTTTGTAAATGTTCAATAAAATCTGTTCAGTGTTATATACAAACTTTCAGTAAAGAAATCAAACTATCAGTATAGAATTTAATGCTCGGTAGCTATTACGTTTGTTCAGTCAACTAATTGTTTGCTCAGTAAATTAATAAGTTGCTCAATATTAAAATTAAAGTTTCAGTAATTAATTCAATTTGCTGATTCAAAAATTCATTTACTCAGTAACAAGTAGTGTCTTTATCAGTAATCCCTTTAATTTTTTCGATGAAAATATTTTGATGCAAATAGAAGAATGTTTATTCACATTGGCTGATAATGACATCATCAGTTAAAAGACACTATGTCACATAGTTTTCCTCGTTATTCACATACATCATCATCATCATCATTCGGCTGCACACAGGCGAGGTTTACAGGCGATAATAATATCGTACCAGCGTTTCCCATCTGCAGCAGTCTTTCTGATCTCGTCGACTGTCGGTGGTTCATCGTTGTTGATCAGTCTTGCAACGTAATCAACGTAGTTTAAGCGGGGTTGACCACGCTTACGTTTTCCATGGCCAGGTTTCGGAGTGTACAGAGCATACATGTTGGTAAATTCGGTTGGATTTCGACGGAGGCAATGTCCAATGAAGCGCAGTTATCGACGTTGTATAGTTTGTACCAGAGGTTCTTGATTCACCTTTTTGTAGATTGTGTTGTTTGATATTTTGTCCAAGCGTTTGATGTTGAGTATTATTCGATAGCAGCTGGTGGCAAAGCTATTTAAGGATTTTTCGAGGGCTTTTGTAATGGTCCAACTTTCAGAGCCATATAGTAAGATCGAAATACATGAGGCTTTAAAAATGTTGATTTTGAGCTTCGTAGGTATTATTGTCGATTTCCAGATATTTTTCATTTTCCAGAAAGCTTTCCAAGCGAGTCCTTTTCTTACCTTGATATCCGTGGTGCTTGATAGCATCATTGAGCCGAGGTACTGGAAGTTGTTGACCCATTGGATGTTTTCACCATTTAATTGTATCGATTTTTTCGTTGTATTTTGGTTTGTTAGTATTTGTGTCTTTTTGATGTTTACCTGTAGGCCTACTTTATCAGCCCATTTCGCCGTTGTGATCAATTGTATTTGGGCTCTATCAAAGTTGCTTTCGAGTAGAGCTATGTCGTCGGCGAAGTCTAGATCATGGATTGCCGTTGTTGGTCGTCTTTGTGATTGTCGCAAATTTGTTATAAATCCATGTTCACCTTGTTCATTTGTGTGATCTGATTCTGCATTTTTCATGACGTAATCTATTACAACTATGAAGAGGAAAGGTGCTAATGTATCACCTTGTAAAACACCAGTTGTAACGTCGAATTCTTGTGAGATTTGGTCATCCACCAGCACTGCACTTCGAGAGTTATTGTATATAATTTGTATTGCGTTGACCATTTTCGTTGGTATTCCATAGTGTCTGAGAATGTCGAACATTGTTTTTCTGTCGATGGAGTCAAAAGCTTTTTTAAAGTCGATGAAAGTAATGTAGATTGGTAGTTGTTCGTCGGTTGCACCTTCCAATAATCTGCGTATTATGTGTATTTGATCCGTACAGCTTCTTCCTTTTCGGAATCCAGCTTGATTTATTCGAAGAATTGAATCAAGTGGTCCCCGGATTCTGTTTAACAGAATTCTGTTGTATGTTTTGGCTGCAACTGACATGAGGCTTATGCCTCTGTAGTTCGTCATGAGGATTTTATCCCCTTTTTTCGGTATGGGGATGATGATGTTGGTGTTGAATTGTTTTGGTGTTGCTTGATTTTCGAATATTTCGTTGCATATGTTACATAGCTTATTGATGACCCAATCACCGCCATGCTTGAGTACTTCCGGTGTTATTATATGATCGAGTCCAGAAGATTTTCCATTTTTTAATTGTTTAATTGCTTGTTGTACTTCGTTGATTGTAATTGGACCTATGTTAATTGGTAGATCTTGGTCAGCTGGTGGTATTATATGAGTGGTTTGAGATGCGTTTGGTTTGACGTTGAGTAAGTCTTCGAAGTGTCGTTTCCATTCGTTTATGAGTTCTGTTGTTGGCTTGATTTTAGTGCCATTTGTGTTTCTGATCTTAGTTGTGCTGTTGTACCTACCTTTGCCACTGATTTGATCTATTAGAGCCCATGTAGTTCTTGATTGGTTTGAGATTGCTGCTTGGTTCAATTGTTCAAGTTTATCTTCCAGAAATTTGATTTTGTCGTTTTGGTAAGAAATATTGAGGTGTTTGTTGAGTTGGTACCAGTGGTCTTTGTTATGCGCGTTTAGTTTTTGTTTAAATATGTTTTTGGCTTCATTTCTTTGTTTTAAAAGTTTAATGGTTTCGTCTGAAACCCAGTTATTTTTGCTTATTCGTTTTGTTTGTCCGATTAGGTTTTCTGTTGTGTGTTGTATGCTTTCTATGAAGTTGTCGTATTTTGTTTGTATGTTGTTGTCGGGGTTGTTTGCGCTGAGAATGTCGTAGCGATTTTGAACTTCTATGTTGAATTGTGATTGTAGGCTGCAGCTGTTTTTAAGCTTGTTCCAATCGTATGTGATGCGTTGACATTTGTTGTTTTTGGGTGCCCGTAAGCTGATGCAGATTTTTGCACTTACTATTCGGTGATCGGAGTTTAATTCGACCGTGTTGTATGCACGAACATTACGAATTGAGTTTAGCCATTTTCCATTAATAAGGATGTGGTGCAGTTGAGCTTTCGATTGACCATTTGGATGTACCCAGGTCCATAATCGTGACTTCGGTTGAGGAAACCGCGTTTGAGTTGATCTCATCTTGCAGGTTTCACAGTAGTTGACCAGTCGATTACCATTATCATCAGTTGTGTCATGGCGAGTGTATTTGCCGATCACTCGTGGATTGGTAGAGTGGCTATCCGATCCGAGTCTTGCGTTTAGGTCACCGGCGAGAATTAGAACGTTGCGTGGTGGGACATCTAGCGTACATTTTTGTAGTTCATCGTAAAATATGTCTTTGTCAGTGTCACATTTGTTCTCTGTGGGTGCGTATGCGACGATGATTGTTATTGCAGGATTGCTTTTGAAATGTACCATTAATATGCGGTCTGATCTTTTTTCCGTCGAATCATGTAGTGCAGAGAATTGAGGATTCATGAGTAATCCGACGCAACCTTGTCCTGTTGATGTTGCTGAAGAGTATTCGAAGCGCCATGTCGAATTATTCCATGTTTCAGTATATGTGCCGGTTTGTCCATATGTTTGCCAACGATGTTCTTGTACAGCTACTAGGTCAATGTTGTTGTTGTCGCATCCATGTATGAGTTGGTGTAGTTTTCCCAGTCTTTTGAGAGTGCGAACGCTGTAGGTGGATATTGTGATGGCCTTGTGGAGTGTTTTGTTATTGACTTTTTTGTTTTTGGTTTGTGTCGTCGTTGCAATGTCAAATACAGGTGACTTCCTTATCATAGTCGTAGATTTTTTTGAAATCTCCGTTTGCTGACGACGAGGTGAGAGACTGTTGCCTGGAGTGGGTTCTTCTATTGTTATTTTCGGAGTCATTATAAAAGATATCTCGGGTGACTAGCCCTGAGATCTCTACCAGAACCCATCTTAGTCGTCAACATTGACGTTTACATCCGACACTGCGTGGAAGTGAGGGGTTGGATTTTGTCGGACATTCGCATACATATGTTGTTATATTTATCGATATCATCTTTTCTTGATCTACTTTTTATACTTTATTACAGTTGTTCGATATTTTACAGTTACATAAGAAGGTGAATATATTGCACTCTCTTCTGTTCTCAATTTAACAAAGGAGAAGAAGATTCTAGACATCGCTCCGTGTTTCCCCCCTTTCCCTATACCTATATAAACAGCTCGTTTTGTTTTTAAATAAGTTGAATTTAATTTACCAAAACTACATTTACCATTATTAATATTCTAAGTATTAGTATTTGAAATTGTTGAAAAATGGCCCAAATCCTATGAACGAGGTTTGAAGGAGTATTGTGACAAGCAAACAATATCATCGGAATTATGGACAAGTGGAGCGTAGGTGAAGTTAGCAAAAGATTCGAGTAGCATTAGCAGGAATCCGTTCAGGAATGTGTTCCACATATTCCATTAGCGTCCCTAGTAGAACTCGACGAGCTCTATCCAATGGTGTAATCACATTTTCAATAGCTCAAAACTATCGGTCCAAAAATCCCAAAACACTGGTTCATTCCTGTACGAATCTTGGGACATATATAGTAAAATTAGCAGCGTGTCGTTCAGGAACATGTTTCAGATGTTCCATTTGTGTTCCAAGTACAACTGGATGAGTTCTATCCAATGATATAATTAGATTTTTCATAAGTCAAACTATGTATTCGTGAATTCCAAGTCATTGGTTCACCTCTATCGGGGATACCTCGTCATTAAAATAATTCTGCGTGTATGTCGCCAATTAACCTGTTTTAGACGTTCTTTATATTCGAAGTACAAATCGATCTGCTGCATCCGTTGTTATAGTTGGATATTTGTTTTAGCGAAGATCATTCCTTGGTAATATTACATATGAGAGCGGCATGTCAAGGTGATGGGTGTGGGTGTGAGTGTGGGGTGTGGATGTGGTTGTGCGTCTGCCTGTGAGTGAGGTAGCAGCTCTCGCTGAAACATCCACACACGCCCGCGCCTGCACTCTCACTCCACACCCACACTCTCACCCCACACACCCATACCCAATCAATTAGAAAAAATTATAGAAGGCCTGCGTAACAAAATGTTTGTTGTTTTATCTTCGAATTTTTATTATGAATAAGCTCGGTTTTGAATAAGAATCTGAAGAAAAAAACCGCGTTTAAAATATAGTTAATTTCATTCCATGTATTACAATAATTGTCTTCACTGTTATGAGAAATGATCGAATTCGATAGAATGTGAATATTACTTGCGTGCGTATGAGATAGACTTGTGTTACTCCGCCCCACAAAATAAAAGCCTACTTGATTTCTAATTTGCTCGGAAAATTATTTTTTTTGAAGGTGGACTTCTATTGCTATCAATTTTTTTGTGTTGTAGAATACAAAAATGACACAAATACTAAAAAAATTATGTTTCCAAAACAAAAGCAATGCATTCTGTTTCAAACCTTTGAAAGGCTCCTCGCCACTGCCTTCATAAATTCCTTTCACTAAACTACTTTCATCCTCAATATCATTTTCAAAGTTGACAGATTCTGAATCAAAAGAATAAACTGATAGCGATTTTATGATCCCTATACGTATCATCAATCCAGGTGCGTTCTGAAGGCCGAAACGTTGGAAAAAAATTAACACTTATCAATCTGCTTTTCAGTTATCCTTAATAGACGAATACATAGTATTTTTGTTGCAAAGCAAAAGTTTTACACTTATCTTGGAGTTCCTCAATTTCTAAACATTTTATGCAAAATATTTAATATTATCAATAAAACAAATTGTCTTCTTGATATCCTTGTATGTACACTTTTCGAACACACTGGGCTTCTATTGTAGGGTGAGCTTCTATTTTATAGGGTGTAACGACTCTTTGATACTCTGCCAAGTATTTTTAACGAATTGCTAACTATCTTGTCA